CTTTGAACTTGATGCCGCCGAGAGTGGATCTGCCACGTTCTTTGGGCGAGACATGTCGCCTCCCTACTTACTCTCCATGAAGTGGCCTTTTTTGCCGATAACTTTTCTTTTCCCCTTTCCTTCCACTGGGCCTTAGAACGACTTATCCTTTCCCTCCAAGCTATCTTCCTTCTTTGGGTGAGATGCCCTCCTTGATATGAGCTTGAATTTCTTCCATTTCAAGTTAGTTTTGCTTGTTTAAGAAGCTAAATCAACTCAGTTGCACAATCAGAATTTTTGGTTAAGTGTTATGACGAGTATGGGTAGCCAACTTTGCGAGCTCGAAACTTCCAATTGGGTTGATGAAAATGAGAGGTTAAAGTGTTGTTTTGAAGATAAGAACTTTTTCTTCAAGATGGCATGAGATTAGGCTTCATAAAAACTCATTAAGGATGTGTTCCAAGGCCTCCAAGTAGTTAAGTCAAACTGCCAGAATTTGGCCAAGTCTGGAGGCATGGTCACGAAGGCCACTTTGGAGCTCTATTCCGAGCAGATGGAGTTGATTCAAGGGAAGTTCTTTGCACGACATGAAAGTCTGTACTTTTTTCTACAGAGGCAAGGTGTTTGTTAAGAAGATGGAGGCCTGGAAGGTTGTGAACGAGAGGTCAAAAGAAGCTATGAAGCCTGTTGTAGGTGTCAGATTACGTGAGCTAGAAGAAAGGCTTCTTTGCACGAGTTTGGATTCATTTTCCAGTTTGGAGTCTTACCTTAATCTTAGAATAGTTCATTTATGTTTCCATGTTCTTTTTGTATTGTAGTTGAATAAGGTTTAAGTTGGTCTATTTAAGGGCCTAGAACTCCATTGTAAGGGAGCACATTATTAATAAAAAATTTAGTTCATTGAGTGTTTTGCTAAAAGAATTGTCCTTGTTCTTGTGTGGATTTTTTTTCAGCAATGAGTGAGCCTTGAATCGATTGAGTCATTACCTCGATCGTGGTCAGGTTGCCTTTTCAATTGGGACGAGCCTCTTCCCCGACGTTGGTGTTGAAGTTGCACAACCCAACTCCATCCATTACGTTGTTTTCTTTGTCCAATTTTTTTGGCTTCTCAACAGCAATCTTGCGCAGTTGAGATGGTTTCAAGCCTTGGGTAACCTAGCCTCGCAGTTTGGTGCTTATCAAGTGGTATCTTGAGCCCGGTTCAAATCAGTGGCCGTGTGACGATCTCCCACGGTGGCAAAGACGACGAATTCGTCGACGGAAGGATGCGCGGGTCAGCAAGGTGGACCCGCTCGAAGGGCCCTGTGGAGAGTGATCCTGCTGCTATTCTGGTAGTGGGACATGAGGGCAAGAAGAAGAAGCTAGCAGAAGAATTTGTTCTGGAGAAGAAGAAGAGAGCGGCAGAATCTGTTCCGGAGAAGGAGACCGCGGTGGGCGACGACAACGACGAACCTGAGATGGCTGAACAGCAGATCAACATGTATGAACTTCTTCAGACCCTTACTGCCCATCTTAATCTCACGTTCCAGACCCAATTTGATCAACTTAATCAGTGATTGGATGTATGTCTCCACTGACGAATCCCGCTGCACAACAAGGCACTCCAACTACACCCAATGCGGCTTTAATAGCGGATCAAAACGAGCAAGAGAACCCTCGAGTCAATCAGGATCTTGATGAGAGGTTTCAGGACTTGGAACGGCGACTGATCGCTGAAGAAACTAAACCACGGAAGAACAAAAGGTACTGATCGCTACGCATGAGTGGTGACCTCCTGAAACAGAGTATGGTCCAACAACAGAGTTACAAGGAATCAAATTGATGATTCCCTCATTCAATGGCTCCACCAGTGCGACATGTTACCTTGATTGGGAAAGAAAGATGATTTTATTCTTTCAATGCGGCCATTACACGGAAGAACAAAAGGTACAGATCGCTACGTACGAGTTCACGAATTATGCAGCGATGTGGTGGGAGAATACACAGCTACGGAGAAGGAAAAATTCACAGCCTCCAATCGTAACCTGGAACGAGTTGCGAGGCTTGATGAGAGACAGATTTGTCCCGGGGTATTATCAGCGAGAATTGTTCGATGCTTTGCAGGGCATTCGACAAAGAACACGCTCTGTGGACGAGTACTTTAAAGAGCTCGAGTTGTTGATGTTGCGTGCCGATGTTTGCGAGGATCGGGAAGCCACAATCTCTCGGTTCCTCCATGGTCTCAATCGAGCTGTTGATGAGATCGACGGCTCCTTACGCTGGACCCCCTCGCTGACGAAGAGCAACGGGACAACCTCTTTCACACCCGTTGCACATTCCAAGGAAAGTTACTGTCCGTTGTAATTGACGGGGGCAGTTGCACGAACGTCATCAGCCTTGATGCCGTTAAGAAACTTGGGCTTACGACGATTAAGCATTCTCAACCGTACAGCCTGCACCGGTTAAACGAATACGGTACCCTCAAGGTGAACAAGCAGGCAAAGGTTCACTTCCAAATCGGCGAGTACGTGGATGAGTTGTGGTGCTATGTGGCTCCAATGCAAGCGGCGCACCTACTGTTAGGACGACCTTGGCAATACGATCGTGGGGTCCTATATGACGGCAGGGAAAACTCGTACCAATTCACACACAATACTCGCAAGTTTCTGCTCAAGTCGTTAACTCCAGCCGAGGTCAGAACTGATCAACAGCAAATGGTGACCGGTCGGAGCAAAGAAAAGGATGAGGCCCTTGGTGCCACCAGATTTATGATTCGTAAGCTGATGCTCACTGCTCTGGTGCACGGAAAGCCTCGACGGCGGACATAGGAGAGGGAGCTCTTCTTCTCGGCGGCAGAACAGGCCAGAAGAGAGAGAAGCTATTGGACGGAGCGGCCGGGCCAACTGTTACACCCCGACCTTTGGGTTCAGGTTCGACCATAATACGTGAACGATTGGATTAACGGTTACGTACTAAGGATTGCAACCCCGGATTAGGAATAATAATGATTATTATTATTATTATTATTATTAAAAAGAGAAATTGGCCAGGAGGGCGCTCGGCCCTCATTGTATTTTCCCCATCACCCGTCCCCATTCACTAAATGGGGAAACCCTAAACCAAACCTAAAGCTACCACCGCCAGAGAGGACACAACAGCATTCTTAGAGAGAAAATTACCAAGACGAGAACCTTCGAGACCCACTTTCTGAAACAGCTCGATCTTGGGTTTGAGGTTCTTTTCCACATTACCGAACAGAATCTGAGGTGCCCCAGAGATCGTAGACTGAATGTGGTCATGGGAGAAAACGAGGTCGCGCAGGTACGCGTACAAAGCTTGGGCTTTTGGGAAGATTTGCGACGGAGGAATCGCGCCGCGATGGAAACGGCTTGGGTTTCAGGGAATTCGAAATTTGTAATCAGGCATTCAATTAGAGCAGCAGTGCTTGAGCCTGTTGACCTTTTGACCAGTGTAGAGAAGAAGATCGATGGAAAATCAAGATCGTGGGCGTCATCGACACTACGACGGTGATGATGGAGTCTCTGACGACGAACCCGGCGTGGTCGAACTCAACCATACCTTGAGAAAGAGGTACGGTGGCGTAGCTGACTATCCCAGGAGTATCCCCGTGTCGACGAAATCGAATTCGGACTGCGGATGAGGGAGATACGAGTCTCGAAAGTTTGGGACGCAATCAGATAGTTTAGGTACCATTCTTGGCAATTCAAGAAGTTAGAGGATTAAATGTGTAATTCTTCCAAAGAGGTTGTGGTCAACGGTGTTGATTGGAAAATTACAGTTTTGGTACCTGGTACTTTTAAACTCACTGAATGTTTATTTTGGTCATAACTCATTTAATTGACGTCCGATCGAGGAACCGTCTGCGCCTATGTGATTGTGAAAGCAAGGAGAATATTTTGGGAGCAAATATGGAAATTTTTTATAGCAGAATCAGAGTCAGATTTGATGGATTCGAGGTGAGTGTAAAGGGGATAAATTCTACGCCTTATGTGTTCTTTCAAGAGTTTCAAGTCTTGAGTATTTTGATGAAGTGAATGTCGTTGTTTGATTATGCTTATGGTTGATGATATGTGATTTTGTTTGAGCTATGCTTGATGTGAATGTGCATGAGTTCTTATTTAAATTTAAGCTCTAAGTTTATAAGTTATTGTTGAAGTCAAGAAACAAGCTCTTTTTAAGAAGTAACTCACCCTCAAGAAGGTGAAGTCGTTTTAAGTGTTTTTAGTCACTAGCGCCAGTCCGTTGCCTTTTGAGACACTTTGAGATAGAGTAGCAGTTATGCTCTTGAGATTTTTAAGATGGGCAGCAGTGATGCCCTTGAGAATCGTGGTGAAGAGCCACCACGATAAGTTAAGATGTTAGGGGGATGAATCGTTACGACTTCCCTAACTAAGTTTAAGTTTAAGGAAAGCCTGGATGGCTTCTCATACGTATGAGTTGGCAACCGAACTTGCTAGTGAGGGATCCCCATGTCAGTCAAGTATTTAAGTCAAGCTTTGAGGTTTAAGAGTGGAGTAACAGTAACAGTAACTCTCATACAGTTTTAAGAGTTAAGCTTTTTAGTAGTGGAAGTACAAAACAACTCTCACTCAGTTAAGTAAAGTGATCAAGTATTAATAAGTATTTAAACATAAGGGCGTAGACTGACCTCATCTCACTCACCAGTTTGAGGAGCTAGAGGAGCAGTTAGTGAGCAGCGAGTTCGAGGGCAGGCAGCTAGAGGAGAGCAGTATAAGCGTCACGGAGGATGCTTAGTCAAGGTTTTCAGTAGCAACAACTTCAGAGATTATTAGTTACTTACATTTATGATTATGAGTACATACTGGAGACTATTTTGAGATCAGCTTGAGATTTTGAGTATTGAGTTTGCCCACGTGTTAGGGCTTGGCTTTGAATTACAAGTGTTTTTTTCAGTATTTTATTTATGAAAATTGTTCCTACTGAAATTTAAGCTTTGAGTATTTTATTTGTCAAGGGCATTTTAGTAAAATTAGTACCCGGCCGGTTAGGGTGTTACACCAATGTCGGGCGTCATTACCACCGCTGAATCTTCCCGCGAGAACCCCCGAACCTCGTCGGCAGGCAAAAACGACTTGACCGTGCCTGAAACGCACCAACAAAGTCGAGCCTCTCCACCTCTGGTCACGCAAAACGAAGACGGAGAACCGCGTGAATGGGGTGGAACGCTAAGGAACGAATTGAAGCTCACCAGCGCGGCCAAGTCATTGCTGCCACCCGTGGGATGCCGAGGAAGTGATCAATTTCATTCGGAGGCAGCTGGAATGAAAACGCCCAAATTAAAATCAAGCATTGTGGCGGGATCATTTTTGAAAGCTGGCTTTGGCGGGAAAGGACATGGAACTGGGTCGGCGCGATTGGAGACGAATCGTGAAGCGAGGCTGATACCCAACGACAATTGGGGTGATGACAAAGCTCGTGGAGACTACGAAGTGGGCTGGATGCTGCTGAAACGAAAAAACCGAATTCTTGTGCTCAAGAACACTGTCGTTGTTTTGCAGGATTTCGAGTTTGGGATGCCTTTTTTTATCCGATTTGGAGCCAACTTTGCGAGCTCGAAACTTCCAATTGGGTTGATGAAAATGAGAGGTTAAGGTGTTGTTTTGAAGATAAGAACTTCTTCTACAAGATGGCATGTGATTCGACTTCATACAAACTCATTAAGGCTGCGTTACAAGGCCTCCAAGTAGCTAGGTAAAAACTATCAAACTGCCAGAATTTGGCCAAGTCTGGAGGCATGGTCAGGAAGGCCACTTTGGAGCTCTATTCCGAGCAGATTGAGTTGATTCAAGGGAAGTTATTTGCACGACATGAAAGTCTGTACTTTTGTCTACAGAGGCAAGGTCTTGGTTAAGAAGATGGAGGCCTGGAAGGTTGTGAACGAGAGGTCCGAAGGAGCTATGGAGCCTGTTGTAGGAGGCAGATTACGTGAGCTAGAAGAAAGGCTTCTTTGCACGAGTTTGGATTCCTTTTCCAGTTTGGAGTCTTACCTTAATCGTAGTATAGTTAATTTATGTTTCCTTGTTCGTTTTGTATTGTAGTTGAATTAGGTTTAAATTGGTCTATTTAAAGGCCTAGAACTCCATTGTAAGGGAGCACGTTATTAATCGAAAATTTAGTTCATTGAGTGTTTTGCTCAAAGAATTGTCCTTGTTGTGTGGATTGTTTTCCAGCGACGAGCGAGCCTTGTATCGATTGAGTCATCACCTCGATCGTGGTCAGGTTGCCTTTTCAATTGGGTTGAGCCTCTTCCCCGACGTCGGGCTTGAAGTTGCACAACCCAACTCCATCCATTCCCCTGTTACGTTGTTTTCTTTGTCCAATTTTTTTGGCTTCGCAACAGCAATCTTGCGCAGTTGAGAGGGTTTCAAGCCTTGGGTTACCTAGCCTCGAAGTTTGGGGCTTATCACTCCTTTCTTTCCTGCTTCACATCATCACTAGAACCAACACTAATAGTGGGGTTCGCCTTACAAGGCTTCCCTCCACTTCCATTCATATCACCCAGTTCAACTTCCTTCACCTCCTCACTCCTAAGCTTATGATCAATTCCAAGAGTAATACTTTCCTCACCATCCCTTAGAATCAAAGTTCCCTCATATACATCAATTAATGCCTTGGCAGTGGCTAGGAAAGGGTGTCCTAGTATGAGTGGCATCTCAGAATCCTCACTTATATCCAGGATCACAAAATCCATCAGATAACAAAATTTTCTCACTCGTACTAGCACGTCTGCCACTATGCCCCTTGGACTAATAACAGAGCGATTGGCCAATGTGACACTAAGCCTAGTAGTCTTTAGTTCACCTATGTCTAGCCTCTTAAAAATCTTATATGGCATCACATTTCTGTTCGCACCTAAGTCCGCCAAGGAATTTTCTACGTGATGAGAACCGATGCAAAGAGGTATAGTGAAACTACCTGGATCGAGTTGCTTCTTGGGAAACTTGTTGAGGATGAAGGATGAGCACTCCTCGCCTAGGGTGACATTGGCAATGTCTTTGAATTTCGGCTTCTTGGATAGATACCCCTTGAGGTATCTTGAATACCTTGGCATGTGGGCCATCGCTTCGAGGAAGGGAATGTTAAGGTAGAGCTTTCGGAGCATCTCCATGAAACCTCCACATTCTGCTTCCAATCGTTCCTTGTGCACTCTCGTGAGAAAAGGTAGGGGTGGCGTGTACTCAGCCACGGGTGGTGGAGTCGGCAATACCTTCCTCGCCACTCCTCTCTTTTCTCCCGAGACTTTCTCTTCTTCACCCTCGGACAGAGAGTCTTCCTTCCCATTCACTTCTTGGGCAACGACCTCAAGGTTCACCTTCCCACTCCTCAAGTAAATTGCAATGCACCTGGCTTGATCATTGGGGTTGGCAATGGTTTGAGAGGGTAGGGCTCCCTTTGGTCTCTCGATGAGGATCCCGACAAGATTATTAATTTGAACTTCCAAGCTTTGGACCTTGGAAACCGGGAGGTTTAGGATTGGTAGGGGAATACCAAGCGAAGTTTGGATGATTGCACCACTCGGGGTTGTAGGTTTTGCTATAAGGGTTGTTCCCTCTAGCATTGGCAATGAAGCTCACTTGCTCCTCAGGGTTACTCGACTCCTTCATCTCTTGGCAATCTGCAATTTTGTGATTGGTGCTTGAACACCAATCACAAGACATCACTGCTCTCTTCCCTTTCTTCTTATCCTCAACGATCACCACGATCAACTTATCAAGCTTCGCTTCAAGTGGAGCACTCGCTCCCACACTTTGCAATCCTCGATCGGTGCTTCTCTTCCCACTTATTGTCAAGCCCCAATCATATCCCTTAAGAGCCATATCTTCGAGCAACTCAGTCACTTGAGGAGGGGTCATGTCCATTCCCCTCCTTTGGCAAAGAGAGTCAATGAGTATCTTGTCATCTTGAATGAGTCCTCCATATAAAGTTTCTATCCAAAATTGCTCCTCGAATCCATGGTGAGGGTACTTAAGGAAGTATTCGGAGAATCTTTCATATGCATCCCTCAATGTCTCATCCTCCTCTTGCTAAAAGTGAGTGATCTTCTTCCTCCACTCGGCCGTCTTGGAAGGAGGAAAATATCGGGTCATGAACTTGTTGAGGAGATTGTCCCAAGAGGTGATGGATAGATCTGGACGGTTGTTGAGCCATCGGAGTGCCTTCCCTGCCAAAGAATAGGGGAAGAGCTTCAATCGCAATGCCTCCTCGGGGATGCCATTTATCTCTAAGCTTCCCGCTAGCTCAAGAAACCTTTGGACATGCTCTTGTGGTGATTCATGGGAAAGCCCTAGGAAGTAAGCATTTTGTTGAATCATCGTCATGAGAGAGGGCTTGATCTCAAAATTGTTGGCGGCCACGGGTGGATGTAAGTTGGGAGATTGGATATCCGCTGCCCGTGGAGCCATGTAATAGCCCATATTCCTTGGCCCTTCCTCGGCTTCTGCTTCTCCATTTGGGTTTGGAAGCGGATTAGCCCCTCGGTGTTGATTTCCTGTCACATCAACTTCAACTCCTCCTTCAATTGTGTGATCAACTTGTTATCCCCTTTCTTCACTTCTTCTTCTTCTTCTTCTTCTTCGTGCCTCTGCTTTCTCCCTCTCTTGAGCTAGAAGTCGGAGGGTCCGGTTGATGTCCTCGTATAGTGGTGTTAAAGGCGTCGGATTGCTCCGGGTCATGCACCTTCCTACACACACTCAAAGAACACAACACGTCTAGCACAAGCAAACAATTCACAACTTAACAAAAACATAAATTAAAATATAGATTAACACCAAACAAAATTTTCACGATAACGGACTGAAGTCCCCGGACACGGCGCCAAAAACTTGACTTGCTCTAACTATTACAATAAAATCCCACCAAAGATCCAAGTATAAACCTTAGATGGGTGCACTATAGGGCAAGTATGTTTAAATATCGACCCAGGCCAGTCCATATACCGCTACTTCGACTGTTTGAAACATTATCTAGTGGATTGGTTTTGGTGAAAACAAAGCTCTAAAACTAAATAGTTTTGTAAAGGTAAAATGGATTTGACTCTAGTTGAGAAAGCTTCACCCGGGTTTTCTCACGGCCACCCTAGCGAACAATTAAGACTTCACCCTCGAATTGGAGTTCTCACGGCCACCCACAACCAAACTCTAAGTGCTAATGCGAATTAGGAGGTTTGCGCTTTAACTAACCTAGAATAGGAGGCATAGAATGCCCAAGGAAACTCATCTCTAATAGAGCCTCTTAGGTTAAGGAGGGTTCTGCCTAAACTAGCATTGGAGGCATTGAATGCCCAAGGAAACCCATGTCAAAATGAGCCTCTTAGGTTAAGGAGGCTTCTCTCTAAACTAGTTTAGGAGGCATTGAATGCCCAAGGAAACCGAGCCTCTTGGGTAACGGAAGTTTCCTCTCTAAACTAGCCTAGGAGGCACGAAATGCCCAAGAACTCCATCTCAATATTGAGCCTCTTAACCTAAGGAGGTTTCCTCTCTAAACTAGCCTAGAAGTAGGGATGGCAATGGGACAGGTTTGGGGCGGATTGTACTAAACCCATCCCCATACCCATTTTCAATTATCAAATCCATACCCTCCCCATCCCCATGTGGGGGAAGATTTTGCATCGTCATCCCCGTCCCCACGGGTTTCGGATACCCGAGGGTAATCCCCGCGCCGTACATATGATTATGATTATAACTAAATTAACACACTTGAATTCAATAAAACATATAATTGTTGGGTTGAAACATCAAACCTAATCAATGATGAACCTAATAAAGAACCACTGGTAATCTTAATTAGATCATCCAAATCCTACGAAGTTCCATAAACAAAGTACCAATAAATAATCCAACACCAAATTATTCATCTCCAAAAAACCTCATAAACAATAAAAATCTACACATAAAAGTCAAATTATCCTCCAAAGTTCTTCTTTCATAGAGAAACAAAGTCTGTTAATCATTATACCAAAAAAGTATATTAATTATGAAAGAACATAAAAATTGTCATCTACAAATCCTACGTTACAGTAGTTATATTTTATAATATATGACATAAGTAATGATAGTTCGAATATGGGTAATGGGTATGGGAATGGGGAGGAGGCATTCAAATCCATCCCCACCCCATACCCACAAGTTTCTTTGCGGGTAATACCCATATCCGCCCCAATACCCAGTCAATGCAGGGATTCCCCTCGTTGACCAGGTTGGGTAGGGTCGAATAACTGGGGTTACGGCTATAAATTGCATCCCTACCTAGGAGGCATGAAATTCCCAAGAAACCCAATGAAACTCCTAACCTAAGGAGGTCTCCTCTCTAAGCTAGGTTAGAATGGCAATTAGATTAATAGACTTTCACACAACACGATCATTTCTGAATAATGCCTCCACATTCACATTAAAGCACAACCACACACAAATCATTCCATTCATACAAGCATTCACATAATTATAGCTAGTTTTTACAAACACCCAAGTGAAAGAAGGGACTACTCCATACCAGGAGAACGGAAAACACAAGAGAGGGAAAGAGAAACAATCAAAAAGATGCAATCATTGATCTTGTGCTGAAGAAATCCTCGTTTGGGGAAGAAATTCCCAAA